TACCAAAAAATGGAAATTTCCTAAGATGCCTGACTGTTGAGCAGAATACGTAGGCTATATAATTGCCTTCAGGCTTAACTCTCTTTTCTTGACAGAACGTGTGAAGTGAGGTGTTTGTCACATTAGCAAGTACAAATGTGTGCTTACAGATCTTAGAATGTAAGAGGTGCATTTAAGAGGGAGTATTTGAAGCTGCTTAACTCCAGTGCTCTAGTTTGATAAACAAAAAGTAAAAGAAAAGGGAGATAATCAGAGAAATAAATGTAGTAGGGGAATAATGTTCATGCTGAGATTCATAGAAATCTCTAAATTCGGTGGAAAGCTAACAGCAAAACTACTGATTCCAGAGCTTTCAATTGCTTGCTCATTCTGTCATCTTTCTGTGTCAAGGTCATTTATATCTAAACGTGTCATTTAGAAGCCCAGGACACAGGGAATAATAATTCTTGCGTTGGGATGAAAGGATTCCTCCACTTCCCCATAATCTCTTCGAAATAGTGCAGTTTTTAGACAGGATGATGTAAGAAATACAGCAACACTAGTTGTGGAAATTCATTCATGTACTAAACTGACAGGTAAATTGGGAATGAGGCTGTCTACCAACTGACCATCTTGAGGAACATTTTTCCTTCTGGCTGAAAAGTAGCAAAGAAGTAAAAAACTGGGGAGGTTTTTGGAACCTGTGCAGGAGAAGAGCAACTGTTCCTGGCATGTCAAAGTCTATCAGGCATGATTTACTGTCTGGAATTTATTCTTCCTTTTACTTACATCTTTTATATGTTTTCTTTTATCTTCTAAATATGAAGTGACTCTCTAACTTCCTTCTTTGGTTGCTTTGGTATGGTGAGATTGCAGAGGAAAAGAAAGAATGGAAATTGTGTTGGAGTAATCTAGGAAAACTGGCATTTGGGCATCATCTATGGGTTTACCGTAACTGATGGCAAATTCTCTCGAGCCATTTGGAAAATGAAGAAAATTAACTGCATGATGTTCTTGGTTCTCTTCTGCTCATGTGCAAGGATCTTTGAGGAGTATGTTTCCATGCTTCGTTATTGAGTTAGTAAATGGGGAGTGGGAGTTGTGTTCTGTGTTTGGATAGTTGTTTTTCTTTACATTTTACTCCCTTATAGGATTCAAAACTATGGCTGCCATAATTACATAGGGGAAGGTGTCCTCTCCATCCTTCTTCTTCCCCAATAGCTTGTGATTCCTTGCCCTAGATGAGAGGCCAAATGAGACCTAGTTTTCTGAAGTCCTTGGGAACTGGTTGTAGTGCAGGCATTATAATCCAGCAATTAGCAAGTTAAATAGAAACAGCATAAATCCTGGCTTGAATTATTATGTGAGCTCCTCTGAAGCGCAGAATCATGAGTGCGATGCATGTAGTCACTTGGAATTTGACTTCTGTTCTTCTCAAAACATGCCTCACCAATAAATCAAATTATTGTTGCCTTGCAGTGAATTTCACAAACAATGTGCTTTGCTGCCTGGTCCACCCACACTAAATGAAAGAATATGTACATTTTAATTACCAGATGATTTCAATGTTGCCTAAACACTGTTTCATATTAAACATTTTTACAAACCAGTGATATCTGTATTCAATAATGAGTGCTTGATATTTTTTCCCTGGATAATAATGTCTGTAATTAGTATCTTTAAGAAACCTTGATATTACATGTCATGCCAGTCTCCCCTAAGTAAGGTCACTGTGGGAGTGGGATATTATTTCTCCTGTCATTCTTTGACTAATGTTTTCATTATCTATAGAAAATATCTGCTGAGTGTATTTTTCAAGGTGAAATTATATAATACCTCCTGAATTTTTAAAATGCAGCTGGGGAGAAAGGCTTCATGTCACCCTGTTTCTAAAACCACTTCTCCATATGTTTAGTTGCAAATTTTATGAACCTCTTTAAAATGACATAACTTTGTAAATGTTTTAGGAGCAGCATGGAGACTGCCTTTTGCTCTGTAAATCCATGTTCAGAAGCTCTTGAGTGCATATGTAACAAAGTGATTTGACACCTGAAGTGTTTGAGTGTAGGCACAATGTAGGACTGTGCAGCATTCAGTAGTCACTGCTTTGCAGTGGCCTCCTGAACAGTCTTGGGACAGGACAGACATGGCAAGGTCTCTGTAGTTTGAGGGTAGTGTTGGCTTGTCCTGCAGACCGGGAGGAAGCAGAATTCAAGAGGAACTGGCAAGGAGTGGGTTTTGTCACTTCTCTTCTGGTGTAGGTTCTACATCTGTGGCCCAAATTAGGACAGGCCTGTCACTGCTTTGGTTTGTGCTAGTACTGGTTCTGCTTACCCACAGGAGAGCTGCCACCAGTTCCCAGGTGCCTTCTGCTTTTCCTGTAGTTGCAGTGCTGGTGGGGAGCTGAGAAATGACCACTGGGTTGAGCTTGTGTCTGGTTATGCAAGCGTTAGCTCTGGACAGTGTATGGCCTTTTACATATCTGGCCTTTGTAGTTCAGTTTTGCATGATGAGGTGACATGGGTCAGTGGGGTTCAGCTGAAGATATACTGGCTGCCACAGTGCATATTGTCCTGCTGTCACGTTTATTTGTTTTCTGGAAGCACCTGTGGTGCTGGAGTTATAGGTAGGAGGGCAAGAAGATGATACCCAGCATAGATCCCTTATGGGGTTATGCTTGGATTTCCAATACATCCATCATGCTGCTGGGAATACCGGCTGCTTTCAGTGCATTTTGCAAGAGAGAGGCATAAGGTGCCACTAAAACCTGAGACACCACTTGTTCTGAACAAAGAGGTGTCAGGGAGGTTCATTCTGAGGGGGGCTAGTCACCTTATGGCAACAGAGCACAGCAGTGTATTTCTTCTGTGCCTCAGGGTTGAATTACACATCTTTATTTCTGGGAGGGATGAAGTAATGGTTCAAGCTGTAGGACAAAGTTTATTTATTTCCATCCTTGGTCTGAAACAAGCTTCCTTCTGGCTTTAGGCAAATAGTGCATTTTGAATTTTAAATTAATAAATGTTTCCTCTCTTATACTGATCATGCCTGATGCTCTGCATAAGTGGGAGCAACCTGAAGAATATAGGGTGTACTGCTGCTCTTGTTCAGACCCCAAGGCAGGTACCCAAGCTTTTCAAGCAGGAGGATTTGCTCCCTGCTGCATCAGTTATGAAACCCTTCTTTGCCGTAACGTGGGCATGGCTGGTGCACATCTGGTTTTCCATTTTTCCAGGTTCCCTTCCAAGCAAATTCCTAATTAAGCTACGTAAGATCCACTAAGAAGTGGACCTTTAGTTCTGTGGAGGAAAGAGCTGGCAGGCACAGCTCACTTTGATGTGGTGTGAGGGAGGAAAAGTGCTGATGGACAGGGGAAATGTGAAGCTGTGTTGCTGCAGGGGATTGCAGCAGTCACCAGACCTGGTGTGGGTCTGCCCTATGTGGGTCAGAGTTCTGTCAGGGAGAGCCCCCTGGGGGTCAGGAGGAGATGCCCAGTACCCGATGAGAATTGCAGATCATTTGACTTTGCCAGCTTCTGTTGCTGCTCTTCTGTAATATAGAAAGGCCATGACTATTTAATGTGCTTCTAAGCAGGAACATTATGTCTTGGGACTGTGTGGAAGACTTTGTGAGGAAACAGGCATGCAAGGAGAAATTCCAAGAGAATAAAACTTCCTCTTGAGCTTAAGCATGAGAAAATTTGAGTGGATCAGGATCAGTAGTGAGGAAGGTTTAAATGTAAGACAAACTGTAGTGTAGCAGTGGGGGAACAAAGTGGTACGGACCCCCTTATGCATCTGAAGGAGATCCCTTTGTTGCAGAAATCACCCTCCTTTTATACTTTTAATTTCCACCTGACATAAATGAAACCAAACCGAGGTCTAGCAGAACTTAACAGAAGAAGGGCACCCATTGACTGGCTCAGTTGCAGTGCCACTGTCCATGTGTCCTATCACCCAATCAGCTTCCTGCTCACACGCTGTCCGCGTGTTCCTCCAGCCAATCACAATCTCACTTCCAGCTGTCACTCAGCTGCCTCTGTCCTCGCTCCTAACTGCCTCTCACCCCACAGCTGACGTCCAGCCATTCAGCCTGCAGCTGGGCCTTCCCACAGGGCCTTCCGCTGAGCATAAGCCTTAGCAACTTTAACAATTATAACCCCATATCCCACACTGTGGTTCAGGTGGAATGGGCTGGGAGATTCTGGTAGGGCAACTCCTGTCGCCATCTTACTGTCTGACATGGCTTTCTCATCACTGCCTCAGACCAGTTTTCTTCATTCCCCTTTAAGGCATCTGAAATGTGGCAGCCGTGAATGTATGCTGTAAAACACAAGTGTTTGCAGAGCACACTGGATCAAAAAGGCTATGCAAATGCTAATCTTAAAAAACATCCTCATTTTTGATAACCTAACACCAGAAAGACAGCAAGAGTTTTATGGGCTTTCTAACACATGCTTGGACCATCCACTGAACAGTATTGATCTGCATCCACCCTTTGTATGGTGGGGTGACAGTTGCTTTCTTGTATGTTCTGGAACTAGAGAAGATACAAAACAATCTACTGAGCAGATTACTTCAGCTGAACAAACCTCTCTGAGTGAAGTTGGCCTAAAATGTGAATGTACTGGAGGATAAGCTCTTTATAATCTCTTCTGGTTTACTGGAAGATGATAATATTCAAGGAAAACTACAGCAGAATTCTTGTGTACTGGGAGGGCAGAGTTAAAAAAACCAGTGCATTGATACCTAAGAAAACTGTTTCTTGTGAAGTGCACAGCCAGGGCTGCCTCTTTGGCATGTTTCCTCTGAGCGTGGGAAGAGAGTGCTTGTGTGCGTGTGTGTACACACAGGTCTGCATGTGGAGGTGGGAATAAAGTTGCTGACTTGTTGCTGATATGGGATTCTTTTCTCCATAGCACTTCTGTGTACATGTCACTGCAATATTTTTTTGTATGGCCTCTCAATAGCTTTGTCTAATCAGTCTTTTTTATTTCCTTCTCCTCTCTCCTACTCCTCCAGTCAGCATATGCTGTGTCGGTGCTCAAAGAGTGTGCTAAACTGCGACCTACAGATCCCACTGTTCCTCTTCTGGCTGCCAAGGTCTGCATTGGGTCACTGCACTGGGTAAGCAAGCTGATGCAATTCTTATTATGTAATGGATTAGATGCTGCAGTGACAGTGCCTGCCACAGTGTAGTTGTAGTGGGGAGAAAGGGAATCCCTGCTGAAAATCATACAGACATGTATGCCTTCTATAAAAAATGAAAATCCCTGCAAGAAATTTTGCAGTGAGTCGTTAAAATGTATTTTGCTAGCACATTGAAGAAAGGAGGAGGGGGGAAAGCCACAACAGCTGTTCTGAGGACTGCTGCTTCAACTGAGTGTCACATTGAATCAGCCATTTTTGTATTCCCTAGAAGACACAAGTTAATAGTTTTAAGTGGTTAGATAGTTCAGGTCTGCTGGACAACTCAGTCCTCTGTTCTTGAAGTTGCCAGTGTTTTGTGTTCCGGATGTGTTAATGTACACCTCAGAAGCAGAGTGGGAGTGGAAGCTGGTGCCCATGAAATTCTGATTATCTGAAGGAGCAGAAGCATCTGTCGCTCTTTCTCTGCTTGGTTTAATTAACTGGACGGCAGCCTGCTGTTCTCACCTGCCTTCACCGCGAGGTGTCCCTGCAGTCAGTGAAGGATTATAATTGCTAAATAGAAGTAAAACACAGATGCAAGGAAGCATGAAAGAAAGTACCAGAAGAATCTGCATGGATCTTGGTGAAAAGTTATAGAAGCCAAAAATGAGCTGGTTTTGATTATTTCAAAATGAGGGTTTTTTATTCAATTGTCTCGGTTTTGGAAGACAGGTGTCTGCTAGGGAGGGCAGGAGCCTCCCCTGGGATGAAAATGTAGACCCCCTCCCTCTGAATTACTATAATTCTGAAATCAAGGGGCTCTCAGGCAGAGATCTGGGGATAGGAATAACAGTTCTTTACTAGTATATATAACAAGGCAAACAAACAATAACTACAGAGTTAACAACAGAACAGAACCAGGGACCCTGTGACAGCTTTCTCGGCTGAGACGGGAAGGGATGGAGGAGAGGCTTTGCTTCACAAACCCCCTCGGGCGGGCAGTCCTGGTGCTCCTGCAGGGCTCCGAGGAACACTCAGCTGGAACAGCAGGGACAAGCTGAGATCCCAGGCCGGTGGCTGAGGTGTATCAGCAGCTCCGCGGCAGTGGCTGGCACTGTCACACGTCCCAGCAGGACAGGGGGTGCGAGGCCACCAACGAAGAGGGAAGAAGGAGACGAAGCAGCAGCTCCGTCTGGGTGATGGTGAATTCCCTTCTCAGCAACAGCTCTGCGCCCCAAAGTGTCCTTCTCTGAAGCTGAAGAAGCCCGCCAAACTGTCCCCGCCCTCCGCCTTTTCCTGCCCCCTTTCCCCCTGGGCCCAGCTGAGCTCTTCGTGTTTCTCAAGTACCCACCAAGTACCTGCAGTGAGGTTTTTCCCCCGCAACTAAAGGGTAAAATTTCCACAGGTGAGCCAGAACTAAAAGAAGGACACCTAACCCCCAACATAAATGTACTGCATTTTTATTGTGTGAAGTGCTTTTCAGTGTTACTCAATCAGACCCTGGCTCAGAACTGGAGGGTATTATGTGGTAAAATCATGATTTCACAAGAGTGTAATTTTAGTGCAGTTATCTAGAGCACAGCCTTATGAACGAAAACCAAATAAAAAATATTGCTTCTCCCTTTCCTTTCAGTCAATGGCCTATGCTTTACCCTCACAGCAAATTTGGTGATGGTATAGAAGAGTTTTAATTAAGGGGAAAATAATTTCATCTTTTAAAGAACTTTAAATCCTCTTTTAAAAGAACTGAAATGATAGGTTCCCACATCTGTTAGTTCCCACATCTGAAAGGGGTGCTTCTGATATTACTGGCAGACTTCTGTGCCTAATAAAGACCTTCCTGCTCAGCAGAGCTATTTTTCTAAATGTCATCCTTACAGTAATTATTTGTATTTAAATTACATGGCAATCATATATAATTTAATTTAATATTAATAATTTAAACTGGAAGTGAACAGGCTGATCAATGCCAGTATAAATAGAAAGGAGGATAGACATGGGACAGGAACAGTTTAATGGACAAATATTAGCAGTTACAAATACTCAAATACATTTTCCTTTTCAGAACATTGTTATAAATGCAATGGCAAGATAGGGTTAATACAAAAAGCGATTTATTATAAAACAATTTCAATCACAAACAACGAGAGAAAAAAACCACAATAAAATAAATCAGCGCAGCGCTGGGTGGACAGGGGTCTATACCCAGAGGTACAGATTTACCCAAATCCACGAAGGAGGGTAGACTGTCCGGGGTTTTTATAGGGATTTTGTGTCCTGAGGCCAAAACTCCGAGCAGTTACTGTTCAACAAAGAGTCTAGATGGTTGGTTGAATGAATTTCCTGGAACCATGGAACTGAATTAATAGACGACTGGGCAGAGTCCTTTCGCATGTGAAAGGTTTTGAGTGCTTCCCGATTGTATCTTCGGTTGGACTCTCAGGGCGAAGTGTCCAGGTGCGGTGCGGAGCCGATGGGTATCTCGGCTGGGCTCCTCTCATTGTTTGGCCTGATTGCATCTTCAGTCGGGGCTTGCAGGGTGGAGTGTCCAGGTGCGGTGTGGAGCCGATGGGCATCTCAGGCTGGCTCCTCTCATTGTTTAGCCTGATTGTCCGTGTCCT